GGCGGCTGGTGGGGCTGCCGGAGGGGAAGGCGAGAGAGGCCTCCGCAGAGGGAGAAACCGAAGGGGTCCAAAAACTAGGCTCGCGCGTGGGGCCCCGGGCTGCCCCCTCCAAGCGGTGAGTTCTTGGCAATGGTCCGCTAACAGGGAACCCTCCATACCTGTCCCCGCAGGTTCAAAGCGAATAAGCTCAGAGTTCTGAGCTGATACAGGAGCCCAAATTGGTGTTATAAATAAGCAACAAGCAGAGGAGCTAGGAATTAAGCCCTTGGAGAAAACTATAAACACAACAGGAGTTGTGGGTGCCGCAGAAAAATGACCTATAGCTTGAACTCAGTTTTGGCTGCCTGGGGAAAAACGGATGACATCCGTGGAGGTGGCTCTGTGCCCTTACAAGGGGGATGTATTTAGATCTGATGTATTAGCAGGCAAGTGGTGGCATCTGCCGAATGGCAGCATGCGGAGTTTTGGAGGTTGCTCGCATTAGGCCCCTGCAGCTCACCCCTGCACTGCCACAACCCAATGTAACCCGCATTGCTCAGGACCTGCGGCCAGCGGCAGCCAAACAGGGCATCACCGAAGTGACTGACGACCTGAAGAAGGGGCAGATCATAAGATGCACCCATTCTCCTTACAACTGTCCAGTCTGGCCAGTCTGTAAGCCTTGTGCGGAATATCCTGGCACCAGCGCTCAGTGTTCACAAAGGAGACAGAGGAGTCCTGTAAAAATAAACTTTATTTGAATAAAGGGAGAGTCCACTGGGCATATCCCGTGGGGTCTCTCAAAGTTGCTGGGGTCGCAGCCCCCTATTTATCCTAATTTCCCGGCCGCATAGGACCCTCTCCCGTTCCCCACTGGCTAAGGTACTAGGAAGGCACAGACTTCCCGATCCGCCTACTACATATACTATATTTTTACCCCTTAACGTGTACCCCCCTTTGCATCATGCATCCTATGTTTCATTACCATGTCATTATGCATCTCCTGGGCGGAGAAGATAATAGTAATAAGTTTATTAAGCCTGAGCACTGTTTCCTAAAGTTGAAAAGTTCAAACTTCCCTTTAAATTTTTGAGGAATTTTTTTTTTTTTTTTTTAAATGATTTTTCTCTGGCAAGTTGTCTTATCTAACAGAGCTTTGTAGTCTGGTTCTTGGTTTTGGTTGAGATTCACTAATTGCTGCAATATATGGCACCTTTTGTTTTACGAGACCTGCTGATTACTTAATAAACACATGGCTCCTCCTTATCTATTCATTGTTTAGGTCTGTGGTTTCTTGTACCAGCCTGGGTAAATGGTACTATATTTTTGTAAAGACACTCTCATAATCCTATCAGCCTGATGGACGATGGCATTTAACAATTGATTATAGAAAATTGAAGAGTAACACCCCGTCATTAACAGCTGCCGCCCCAAGTGTAACCTCAATAGTAACAGGAATACAGGCTGCCACCCACTCGTGGATGGCTGCTTTAGGTGTTAAAGATATATGTTCTTTATGATCCATCCCACTAAGGGAAGAGCATAAACCGCGGTTTGCCTTCACTTGGGAAGGGGTGCAATATACCTTTAACCAGCTACCTCAGGGATATAAACATTCCCCTACCATCGCCCACAATGCCTTGCTTTAATACATAATTGCAGTAATAATTACTGTAATTTGTATTATAATAAGCCACAGTAGGCACACAGTACTGAAACCTGTGTTAATGGTAGACTGTACCTCCTTGAAACTTGTTCAAGTACTGGATATCAGAATACTTAAGAAATGATGATCCACAATGAGCACCAAAGCTCTCCCTTTTAACTTTGGAGGCCTTTTCACTTTGGAGGTCACTGCCGCAGCACTCTAAGGAAACTAGTTCAGTCATGATTGTGGTCACAGGGTGGATTGTGGCAGGTGCACACACCCTGGCCCAGACCTGAAAACGCCTAGGACTTGCTAAAGACCCAATAACAGGCAGGTCTTTCAGGATACCAGACAAAGACAAGGAGACAGGGGCTTACCAGTCTTTGGGAACTTTTGTTACCCTGTCTTCTCCTGCTGGCCCCAACTTAATTAGAACCGATCACTGGCCAGACTCGACTTGGGTATAAACTAGGCCCCGCTGGAGGGCCGATTTGGGTTGGTCCTCCTCAAAGCAGCGGCTCTGCAGTCGGGGACTCTGCCCTTGGGTCAGGACACCACCTGAGGAAACTCCTGGGGTTGAGTGCCTCACCTTCCATCTTGGGTGAGTGATTTCTGCTGGATATATCCTTGAGTGAGCCCTCACCCTTTTGGGTGAGTGATTATAGCCTCTGGGTACCACACCCTCGAGTGAGCGATTTTCCCCCTTTTGTGGGTGAACAAGCGCACATTTTGGATTGTTAAGACAACTGTGTAGTAATATATTCCCAACTGCCATCCAAACTTTATTTTTGTCTGTCGGAGTGCTCTCTAACTATAGTTGGAATAAATCCCCATTGTTGGAGTAGTTGCTCTGTGTGTTTTGTGAGTGCCTCTGCCTGGCATCCACACTTGCAGTTTGCTCAGGTCTGTAGGAGCGTTCGAGTGACTGCTCTGCTTGTTGTGTGGGTCCCTCCGTGACACTTATTAGTGAAGCAGGACATCTATATGGCAATTAAGGACTCTACACCACAAAAAGTCACCTAGTTCTAGGTTAAAAACAGTAAGAGCCATAAACCAGCTAGGTTTCAAAAGAAGTGAAAAAAAGTGATAATTAGGTAAACACCACTTCTCTACCAGGATATTTGACAAGGGTGAATATTAACCTACATTAACTAATAAGCTTGTGAAAAGCACCATTGAACTTAACACTTCAAAAAGCCCCTTCTCTGCTGACAAAAAGCAAGAAACAGACTCATTGTGTTGAAACACAGAAATGTTACTGAATCACAGCCATTTCCTACCTTTCCATCTAGATGACCTTTAAGTACTGAGATAGTTTGACTTCTTGGTGAGCTATTTTGGTCTGAGCTATGTCAGAAGAACTTACTGCGAAGATACTGTGCACTCCAGACTTCAGAAAAGTAGTCAAATGACAAACAGCACAAATTTTTATTCACTCTCACAACAAATTAAATGTAATACGTTATTTTCTCCAATTAGTTTGTCACCATCTTTTTTCTGCGTATACCGATTCCCAAGTGCTAAGAAAAATAATTACAGCAGATTAAGAACAAATCTACAGCATTCCTTGACTTTAGCTGGTTCTGATACAGAGGCATAATTTTTTATTTGAGAGTAAATGGCAAGAGACTTAAGTAATTGCACAGCATTTGTATCATCACTGATCAGCGTTCCAAGAGCCACAAGCAGTCTAAAAATGGCTTCAAGATCTTTAACAACTTCCATAACCGTGCTGATTACTGATAAACATTGAGCTTTGCTCTCGATGATGTTGATTTTATGTAAACATACAGCATAGTTCAACATCAGCGTAGCAAGTGCAATGTGGATGTTCTTATTGTTGCCCGATTTCATTTCTACTGCTTGTGTCATAATTTCATCCCTTTGTTCCATCATGAGCTTCTGTCCTGGCTGGCTGGCAAAACAATTACAAAGAGCTCTAAGTGCCAACAGCTGATTTGCTTGCTTTCCCTTAGGGTTCAGAAACTTAAGGAGAAAGGTGACAAATTGTACAGGATCCTTTCCACCGCAGAAGTTCTCATTCACAGTGGGATGCCTGACAGACAATCTAAGAATGTCTAGGGCTGGAAAGACAATATCTAAGAAACAAAACAAAAATATGTTAGTACATTAATACTATTTGTACATTATGTTACATTATGTGCAAATGTGCTAGTGAGTTTCTTTCAGATACAGGCCTTCTTAGACCTTCTTAAACCCTCAGCTTTGCAAACAGACAGTAACAGTTTCTTGCAGTCGTTTGAATTTCATAAAGACAAGTATTGACAAACCCATTCTAGTAACACTTCAACTGAACACAAAAAACATGCTCCTTAATTTTGGATACATGCTGTTTGGAAAAAAAAAAAAAAAAAAAAAAAAAAATATCCTACAATCTTTCCTAAAAGCTCTAATTGATAACACTGAACACAAGCACAAAATATGGTCGCTAATCCAAAAACATCTCTCAAAACTTTTCAATGACTGAACACCTCTACACAGGCAGCATCTCTCTTTATCCTCATTCCATATCTTACACTTCAGTGTAGCTAAAAACTTACAGAAACAAAAATGAGAAAAAAAAATTTCAGGCTACCTTCAACTCTCAGACATAATTTTCAAAGGAAAAAAAACCAAACCCAACAAAAGATGTCCTCAACGGGTTAGCTCAAAACCATTGTAAGGAAACTGAACAGGGAGTATGTTCAGCAGTTCCCATCCACTTTCCCAGACATCAAATATATGTAGTTCCTTAGGTATACTATCAGTATCTCACGCTTATAAACAAATCAAAGCTGAACCTGCTTTGCTAACTTATTGAGCAGTTTTTCCTGCAGATATGCAGAATCTTGAGAATTAATGCTTTGTACAATACAGAGAGTCTGAAAGGTATGAAGTCATTAGCCATCACCAGCTCCCAGCTGTGCAAAACAGTTTGATTTAAGTGATGTTATATAATGCACTTGAGTTTTTAATACCAAAATACTCTTCCCATTCATAAAATCTTTTAATTGGAATTTCAAGAAAGTAGTTCATTTTAACTGCATGTGTAGGTATTTCTATACATACAATGTATCAATTTTTTTCAGAATGTGCAGTAACAACCAAAACAGCCTTTTGAACCCATCAGTGCTGACAATATATTATCAAATGAAAGTTTATTACCTCCACTTGCATTCATTCAGAATGTCATTTCACTCATGCAGTTCTGACCCTATAACCTAGTTTCATTAATTTCTTCTCTACCATATTAAACATGAGCTACTTTTGAGTTTGCTTTTCTTTTTTTTAATAAGTTAACCCCATAATTTCACCCCTTGTTTGGTAACAACTTAGGACTCCAACCTCACTTCTTTGCTCTATTTCCAAACAAGCCTCACACTTCTTTCTCGAGCATGTTCCTGCTAATGAAATAACCATGACTGATGTTTATACCAAGTTTCTCCTTTGCTGTGCCAACAGCAAAACCCGACAACCAATTACCAATTTTGCAATTCATGCTGCTGCCCCAACTACTGATTCCTGCTATTAGCATGTTTATCATCTTCTGGTTTCTACTTGGGTTATAAACTCTCTGGGACAGACTCTGTGTGAGAGCATACCAACACTTTTAATTCATGTTAAGTATTGATGATGTGACAGCACAAAAAAATGATTGTGAGTGTCTACCTTCTGGCCAGTTAATCGCTCTCCATAAAGTCTGAAGCTGCTCTGCTGTAGGTTTTTGTGCAGAGGTGTTGCATGTTGCAGATAATAAGTTTTCTAGGTTTATCAAGTCATCTTCTGTAAGCTTATGTTCTTCAGTTGCACTGCCATTAAGTTCCTTTAATTTGCCTGTAAGACCAATGGAAGAGGCATGGCTTTCTGACATCAAAACTACACAAATCCAGCTCTTGAATGAAGTACCAGAGAAGCACTTTACAAACAAGTTACAACTATTTGTTTTGGGGGGGGGGGGTTAGATTTTTAAACATTACTTTTCCCCATTTCACAATTGTCTAATTTTAAGGTTTTAAATCATTGCAATGGTTGCTACTATTAAGCCCCCTGTAATACCGCAACACAAAGATTCAGAATTCACATCTTCGCCTACATACAGGCAAAAATGCAGAAAAGAATCACAAGGCCATTAGTTTTCGTAACTGAAATACGACTTTTTTGCTGGCTTTATTATGTAGTAGAAACAATAAAGAAACTATATGTTCTTAGTGTGACCACAGCTTTTCTATTTTTACTTAAGTGCCATAAGCAAAATATGACTGCACCATGTCCTATATTCAAATTTCAATGTAATTTAAAAATGAAAATATTGGAAAAAATACTTCAGTGTATAGCATTTTGCTCAAAATGGATCTAGCATTCAGCACCTGCCAGTCATGGTTCTTCCAGAATTGAAAACAGCCATGTCACACACCAGCAGGCAGCATTAAATTAGTACACCCTTAGGAGTTTTATAAAGTGTGCATGAAGATCAACCATGCAAAAAAAACCCCAACCCACTAAGCCTATGGTTAATAAGGTTCTCCTTCAAGAATATTGGACAAAAATAAACTGATGCAGTATGTTTTTAAGGCTAAGTAGAAGTCTCTGCTTTGCTATAACACAGCAGAATGAAAATCAGCCAGTCTTGCTGTTCTCCCTCTTACTAAGTTCTGGACAAAATTTTACTGTAAAACCTGTGCAAAACTAAGATAAGGCTAAATCTATTTACTAGCAACAACCTCCAGAAAAAAATATTCTAGTTTATGAATCCCTTATCTTCTTGCTGAACAAAGAAAATACCCTGAAAATTCGGGGAAACAGGCTGACTGAAGATTCTGGTATTTTCAAACAGAAAATGAAACCTGAACAATATGTAGAAGAGCAATACTGCAAATAGAAGGCCCCAAAGAGACCTTGACAGGCTTGAGAAGTGGACCCATGCAAACCTCATGAAGTTCAACAAGGCAAGGTCCTGCACCTGAGTTGGGGCAATCCCCACTGTCATGGGGAAAAAGAGTGAAAAACAAGCCAATAACAACTTTGACCAAAAATGTGTATGATTACTAGATATTGTACACTGTTTTCTTTTTCTGTTATGCAGTGTTATATTTAAATATAGAACTGACCACTGTAACCTGTGAAATTGCAGAATGTCTTACTTCAAAATTTCATAGATTACATTGCAAGGCTATCTGGTGAACTAAAAGTTTCATGAGCAAAATCAGAAAGGGATTGCACACGACCTGGGTGAAAAAAAGTGCAGCATTCAAACATACTAGCTTGATAAAAAAAGATGCTGAACAACAGCAGATAAAAGCTAAGGGGAAAAAAATTGATATCTTGTATTAAATAGAGCTCTTGTGAAATTTACTCATGCTCCTAAGCCTGCAAATACCTGCACCATTAAAGTGACGGATGCAATTTTAAAAGATCAAAACCAAGAAAGAGTAGGAAACCTATGAGAAATCTCTTAGCTTTTTGACAAGATCATTAGTGAAGTTTTCAAACAGATGAAAAATGAAGCCATCCTTGAAATTAAAACACTCACTCAGTATCTGCGTAGGATTGGCCTGATCAAAGGTCACAGCATCCTTCTTTGGGAAATAAGTATTTTCAACTTCAGCTGCAGCTGATTGGTAGGTGCCCATTCCTACATAAAAGAAATGCAGAAAGTTCAACAGCATATCAAAGTGTTTGTCATAGAAAAATATCCTACCAGTAAGTCTCTCCTGCCGAACATTACTCAGAAAAACCTTTAAAACAAATTGAATGCTTATACAAATAGCTGCAATTCCTTATTTTCACATTCAAGGGTTAAAGCTTAAAGTAATACCTTTACAAACTGTTCTCCCCCCATGTAAAATTGTACAAGACATTTCTGAATTATATGAACTAATTACACAGATAGGAATGGGAGTTGCAGTTAAACATGAAAACAGCAAGGGTCATTTTAGAACAAAGATACCTCCTGCCCCTGAAATGTTATCTTTTGATGATTTTCATAATGATTAGGCAAAGTTTTTATATATTGAAGATCTGCAAATATGACCAAGTTATGTCACATGCAATATTAGCCTGAAATCTCCTCAGAAAAAGTGATAAAAAGCTTTGATCATGACCTGTAGTATTATTTCCTAGAATCGTGGCAGTCTGGTGAAGTTTCTGCTGACTGGAAAAGAGGAAACATAACGCCCATATTTAAAAAGGGAAAAAAGGAAGACCCTGGGAATTACAGGCCAGTCAGTATCACCTCTGTGCCCGGCAAGATCACGGAGTGGATCCTCCTGGAAAATATGTTAGGGCACATGGAAAATAAGGAGGTGATTGGTGACAGCCAACATGGCTTCACTAAGGGCAAATCCTGCCTGACAAATTTGGTGGCTTTCTATGATGGGGTTACCGCGATGGTGGATAAGGGAAGAGCAACTGACATCATCTACCTGGACTTGTGCAAGGTTTTTGATGCTGTCCCATGTGACATCCTTGTCTCTAAACTGGAGAGATATGAATTTGATAGATAGACCACTCAGTGGATCAGGAATGGGCTGGATGGTCACACCCAAAGAGTCACGGTCAACACCTCAATGTCTGAGTGGAGACCAGTGATGAGTGGTGTTCCTCAAGAGTCAGTACTGGGACCAGTGCTGTTTAACATCGTTGTTGGCAACATGGACAGTGGCATCGAGTAAACCTTCAGCAATTTTTCTGACAACACCAAGTTGTGTGGTGCGGTGGACACGCTGGAGGGAAGTGAGGCCATCCAGAGGGACCCTGACAGGCTGGAGAGGTGGGCCTGTGCAAACCTCATGAAGTTCAACAAGGCCAAGTGCAAGGTCCTGCACCTGAGTTGGGGCAGTAACAAGCACAGACACAGGCTGGGCGATAAGTGG